CCGGGCCAAAAGGGCCTTCCAGTCGTCGGTCCAGGACTGCAGCCTGCGGCTGGGGGGCTTCAGCTGCAGGTGCTTGTTGTGGCAGGCCGTGAAGAGCACGTTCTCCCAGCTGGGGTTCAGCTCGGCCCCTGCAAAGCAAGGAGAGAGGCTGGCACTCTGGACAACCCCTCCGCGAGACGTAGAGGTTGACCTTACTCCAACATGAGGAGCCTGCAGACACAAACCCCTAACGAGAGCCTAATCAAGCGGGGAGGGACCAGTGTCCATCACCCCCAGACGCCGTCTGCCCCTCGGGGCTGTGTCCGGTCACTCCTGCCACCCCGCACCTCCCTTACCTGTTATATCAGGTCTGTCGTCTATAAGCAGGTCAGCAGAAACCACCGTCTTATCTCGCGTCAAAACGATCTGCTCGAGAAACTCGGGGCCGAAGTGCTTCTCCACCCAGGCGTACTGGAAGACGAGGGGCGAGCGGTGAGCGTGGGAAGGCCGATGGACGGGGCAGGGGCAGCTCACTTAGAGCGGCATCAGCGCCCGGCACGAGCCCTGGCACCCACATAGGGACAACATGTCACTTAGCAAGTTCAGCAGTGGGAAGCACTCGGATGCTGCTAGAGCCCAAATTCTTTTAAAGCCAAGCAGCTTTTGACATCGTGATGAAATATTAAGACCAAGCACCTCAGTGCATTCAAATGGCAGAGCTCGGCCAGCAGCGGAGCTGCCGCTCTGCGAAGATGCTTAGGAACAAAACTGGTGGAGCAGGAAGATATCGCTGCCGTTTTACAGCCGGAGGCACGCGGGGGTCGCCGGGCAGCGTGGTGTGGGAGGGGGAGCCGGGATTTGGACCTGCTCACCTTCTCATAAGGGCAGTAGCGGTACTTCTTGATCGGGCTGGTGCAAATGAACACATCGGTGCTGCCACGAGGAGAGAAACAGGGGCAGAGCGTCAGTCCATGGCCAAACACGTTGATGAGACCCTGCTCCCCCTTGAGGTGCACCTGGCTGCCTCTGCGAGACCCTGCTCGGTGCCCGAGCAGGCAGGTGCCCAAGGCAGATCCCCTGCCACACATAGATCAAACCAGGGTGATTTAAGACGTTAATGCCCCACCTCACAGGATCCCACACCCGCAGCACAAGCATGTTCCCCCTTTTGCCACCCTTGCTGGGAGCGGAGAGCTGAAGGGGCTGCGCATGGCTCATTTTCTTGGCAACTGCTCCAAGGGTCGAATCCCTCTCTTTCCTGCCATGCCTGGGGGGCTGGTGGGCATTCTTAACACTGATGTTGCATTCAGCACTTCCGCTGAGAGGAGGATGAGCCTGCAAAGCCACTGCTGCTCCCCCATCCATTCCCCAATACCATGGGCAGGTTCCTACTCACTCTGCCAAATTTGCCATTTGCTTCACAGCTTCCACAGCCCCTGGGAGTGGGTCCAGCTCCATGAAGAAGTTCTTGGATTCCCAGATGCTGATGGCTTTCTCCTGTGAGGGGAAGGAGAAGGGTTACTTGCACAGGGCTTCTTGCTGTTCTTCTCCCTGCATGTGCATCTTCCCCACCCTTTGCTAGGTCAGAGGATGGTGACAGCGAGAAGGCAGGAGTGCTGGCTCCGGTCCCCTCCTGCTAACACACTTTGCCTCTGTGGTTCCTCTGCTCCCCACCTGCTAACCGACACGCATCCCATACAATTTATATCGGAGATGCTCTGGAGTGGGCTGGGTTTTGCCTTTTCCCCAGCCACAGAGCGGATAGCACATTCCTCCAAGGCAAAACGCCGAGGCTGTCCAGAAGTAAACCAAACCCTGGGTCTGCGTCCGGAGGGGCACTTCCACATGGATCCGGCTGACGTGGCCTGGTAACCCCACTGTAATGTGATGCTGTTCAGCTCCAGATGCTGTCTGGCCTATTTGTCTCAATCAGATCACTTAAAATAGCAACCAGGCTGCTCTCATAGGAGAAAGTATGTTACAGGATGAACTACATGTCAGGATGAATGCAGATGCTCTTCCCCAGGGATGCCTAGGCAAGGTCTACCAGGCAAATAGAGCGTCGCCAAGCAAGGGTTTGAAACACTTAACATCCAAGCTGGGAGCCGGGGTGCACACTGGTATGGTGCACAGGGAGAGCAGAGCAAAGAGAGTCCACAGGGAGCAAAACCTTGGGACAAGGGCAGAGTCCAGGGGCTGCCAGCAACGAGCCCAGGCAGCTCCAAGGAACAGCATCCCCTGCACTCCCTCAAGCAGGTAACGGCTTGTCAGCCACCAAGCAAAGTAATTATTTTGCACAGACAGTGGGTCCTCGGGGAGGAGAGCCTGGGCGTGCTGCAGTGTGGCCGCGGGCAGAGGAAGCAGCCGTGTCCCGGCGTTGCAGCACAGCCCAGCAGCTGCACGTGCAGCTGGGAGAAGTTTTGAAGGGAGCCGTGCCCCGAAGGATTGATCTTGAGCACCTCTGTTACTGTATTGGAGGCAAGGGAATGGGGACAAAAGGAACTTTAAGCACATCTGGCTTTCTTGTATTGCAAGGGTACGGAGCGGCTGGCAGAACACCAGGGTAAGGGAGAGCAGCCTCCATGATGCTTATATGCTGGTTCTCACAGCACGTAGCAACGAACAGGCTGGTTGGACACACCAGCTAGACTTGCAGCTCCCTCCTGCCTGATGAGTGGGAATCTAGTGGGTAACCACCACATTTTGCCTTTACTGCACCTGTACTGGGGGAAGAAAGCAGGCAACCATGTGCAACTGCAGCTTTGCTGGGAGGTCCAGGCTCAGGGCAGCAACGCCCCAGAGCAAACACAGGGGCCACTCGGGGAGTCACGTTCTGCTTCGTCCTGCTGGCTGGACGCTGGCTGCACGCCTGGCCTGCTCTCAGGAAGATGAATACATGAAGCCATTACATATTTGGGCACTGAGCATTTAACTTGACATGCCAGAATCAGACCCTGTATTTCTCCAAAAAATCCCAGCTAACATGAGAAGACCAGACACCCAACTTAAAAGGACAGACTACTCATATCAGCTGCTGCACTGTTCCCTTTTGCCTGAGCCACAGCAAACATCAGTGGTTCAGAGGAGGGAAGACAAGCCTTCTTCATACATGTTCAAAATGAAACACACCGATTCGGTGCAAGAGCCAGCAGAAATGCCTCCCGGCACCATGACAAGAACAGCTACCCCAACAGTTTGCCATGGGGCCAGGCAAACATTCAAACTCCAGTTGCTCTGCTTTAGACCGGTGAGCAATGATGTTTTATTTTTAAGATACTGACTGTAGCTGCACAAAAGACATCTGAGAAATGTGGCCTGATGCAGCAAAGCACTTCAAACTGCGCTGAAGTGTTTTCTTACAGCAAGGACTTCTGTAGCTATTCTGCTTCCACTTATGTCAAAAAGCATTTTGCAATCAAGCTCGATGGGGAAAGAACTAAGTTCATCTTGAAGAAAAGACCCACTCGGCTCCCAGAGCCAGAGTAACTCCCTGCGGCACGGCAGCCAGCACACTGTCCGGCAGATGGAAAAATCCCCCAGGATGAAAATCCCACTACATATCAGGCAGGACAGACCCTCAATTTCCTTCTTCTTCTCTCTCCCCATGAGCAATATCCCTGCCCGTCCAGGGCTCCCCATCCTTCCAGATCTGTGTGCTCAGCGTATTGCTGAGCTGTCGTTCTCCCTTTCAGAGCTGGGACCTTCAGCTTGTTGGACTCTCTTGCACCTATTTTCTGCTGTCCTGCAGCAGGTCGATGGTGCTCTCTGACGAAGGGAGACTGGAACGGCCCATGTGCCTGTAGCCACAGAGCGGCTCCTACTCTCTTTACCGCTGGTCTGTAACCACAGGTGAAATCAGGGCTGCCCTGAAGTCGGTCTGTGGAAGTTTTACTACTTGTTCAGCCCAAGGTTGTCGTGGTTTTATGTGATGAGAGCAGACACAAGATGAGCTCACTTCATTTAACACATCCAAAGTAGTTAAGAAAAAACAATGTTATCATGCATTAGCCCTGCCAAACTTTTAGCATCTGCCTTACTGCATGAATGATGTCCTCTATTTGCCTTTCATCAATCCCAGCTAGAGAGGACACATTATTCCTTCAGCTCATTAAGCTGTTTAGGACTTTTCCAGTAGGAAAGTTCCAAACCTTATTCACGCTCCCTTCCTTGTAGCCGTCATACCACTAACGACAACAGTACTTTTATTTGCTGTAACATCTTTCAACTAGTGCAGTTGCAATCCGCAGATGAGACCACAGACATCCTACCGAGATGGTAAACTTGTAGAGGCAGAAAAGGACTTTCTGCAGCACTCAGCTCTTCGCTGAACGATAAGCACAATATAAAGAGAGCCTCTGCTATTAAGCTTTAATGATTAAAATGAATACACTAATTTTCAGGCATGGGAGGAGCTGTTTTAAGTAAGCCCTCACATGAAGCATTATGGTTTGCTCTCAACTTCTCTGTTGCGTCCCACCCCTCACATTACTGTTGAGGAACTAAATAATCCATCTAGGAACAGCATCAATCCACACAGCTTGGCCAAATCAGAGCTAGAAAAACCCACCTATGAAATCAGATGGTCAAAGATCTCCTTTCCTTGCATTTATCTTTTTCCCATGCATGCAGGGAAAAAGAGACAGATGTGCATGGAAACTGCTGGATTTCTGGGAGAATAGACACTGCTGGAAGCCCTCCTGCGTGCAGACCTGTGTCGGTGGGAGCTCCGGCCAGCACCCACAGCCCTCCCCAGCGTTACACCCACGAGCCGGAGGCCAGCGGGTCCCGCGGGACCGGAGCCCCAGCTGCACGGCGCAGAGCGAACAAGGGCCACGCGCAGAGCCGGGGATGCATAGACTCACACTCAGCTCAGGTCCCAGGCGCCCGTATTGCTCCGACACCCAGAAGCCCCTCCGGTCCTCCAGGGCAATGTAGGGCTTGTCGGGGTACCTGGCCCTGAACTTCTTGAGGAAGCCTCCCTCGAAGTCGGCCAGCACCCCGTCCATATCCACCAGCACCCGCAGAGCCCTGCGGGACC